ATCTGCCACTAGTGATCCTTTGTTCTTTGTTTGAATAGTATATTTTTTTCCAGATCATACAGTCAAATTGATTCAAAGTTTTCTATCTAAGGAAAACCAGTTGATTGCGTCGACTCATTGACTGGAATGCAATCCCTCACACTAAGCATGCTTGTAGCGACAGTGGAGAGGAAAAAGTTTTAACAGGAAGAAACCTCCAGCAGAACCAGGCTCAGTGTGAGCAGCCATCTGCTGAGGCCGACTGGGTTCAAGGAGACAGAAGCAGAGATAAAAAAAAGAAGCAGAGAAGTTTTTCAAAAATAGGACTTTGAAAAACTTCACAATTAAAAAGGTTTTAATAGTGATTTTTAATTTCTATGCAAAATTTCTACCAATATTTTTTAAAGTTTGCTATTTCTTCAGATTTTACATGTTAAGATTTCTGAATTTTCATCAGATATATCTTTTTCACGTTGTCCCATTTTTATTTAGCCATTTATTTATTGTTTTTTTTTTTCAAAGTTTTTAAAATGCTTGATTAAAAAAAAGAAAACCATTTGCTTGGATGATCTATATATAATGTATAGAAATCATTTCATAGAAGGAAATTTAATTTTTTATAACATTATAAATATCTGAAATAAACAGTAGGGGAATAAATACAATCTCAACCATCTGGTCATGAAGTTCCATTGATAACCTCCTCTGCTTGAATTATGTGTTTCCATACTACCAGTTGGATCACGACATAGCAAATGATTATCTATAATTATTTAGAATTAATTGTAGCCTCCTCTATTAGTCTGAATCAAATCTGGATTAAACTGTTAATAGTGGTGCTGATGGATAGAATGAGGGGCGGTCCTTCTCAGGGCCCCATTGGACCGGCCCTGGATATAAAACAGCTCTGGTCTGTTTATTTAATGCTCTAACGGCTTTCCATACCCAGATACTGCTTCCTACATGGAGACCATCTTCTTCTTCAGATGTTTGCTCTATCAAAGCCTTTAATTATTGATTAGCTCGTCGGATTTTGATATAAACTGATTTAATGTGACATTTTGTTCACCAGAGGAGCATAAACCATCTTTGTGATAATTAGTGAGGTTTGATCATCCGCTCTCCGGGCTTGTTTTGCTCGCTCTGGGCTTGCAGGCTCTTCCCTCCCCCTTCCAGAGGACAAAGACTGAAATGGGTCAGCAGCTCATCCTGCGCAGCATCAGCATCAGCCGGAGGCAGAGAGCAGCTGCTGCCCGCCTTCCAGCCTCTCTGGTCGGACACATGGAGCCGCTGTCCTCCGCTGGATCTTCCTGTTGAGCCGCTGCTTCCCACTGATCGGTACTGGTTCCTGTCTCCGCTTTGAACTGGAAGCAGACATGTCGTCCTGGGATGGTTGACGCCGCTAACTGGGATTGAACTGGTTAGAAGAGAATCGGAGCTGCTGGTTCCCAGTAAACACCGATTCATCCGCCCCCGCACTGACCGACGGAGGACGATGGAGGCCGGGCTGGAGTGAGCGGAGTCCCGCTGACCGTCCAGGTACTGATCCGGCTTCACCAGTAAAACCAGTGCAAACCAGTTTAAAAGGATTTCTGGGGAAATTGTTGTTGTTTTTCTTCCCAGAATCCAGTAAATCATTAAATAGACCGAAGAGATTGAGAACCATCAGGACTGATTGACCTCCTATTGATGGACCCACTGGTTTCACTGGTTTCACTGGTTTCAGCACCATGAGTCAAACCAGTTTAGGTTTAAGCGATCCAGAAGGTCTAAAGAGTCAGCTGTGAGATATTTACTGTTTTCATCAGTTGGATCCACATTTGGTCAGCTTCACTGGACAACAGGCTTCATTTGGAG